GTATACAAAAAAGAAAAAAACTTATAAAATGTCTTCATCAGAATATAAAAATTCTGCTTACCACGAGACACCACTAAGAAAATGAATTGACAAGCTACAGACCTGGAAAAAAGAAAAATCTCCGCAGCAATATATGTGACAAAGGATTTATATCCAAGATATGTAAAGAGCTATTACAAATCAACAATAAAAATAAAAATATCCCAATGACAAAATGGGAGAAGACCTGAACAGACAGTTTACAAACTAAGTTACACAAATGGCCAATAAGTAGTTTAACAAGTGCTCAGCATCATTAGTCATCAGGGACATGGCACTTAACCCGCAGGGAAATACTTCATACACTAGAATGGCTAAAATCAAAGACTGATGTTTCAGTTATCTGGTGCTCCATAACTTATCACCCCAAAACTTAGTAACTTAAACAGTTACAATCAATTTATTATTTCTCACAGCTTCTTTGAGTCAGGAATTCAAGAAGGGCTTGGCTTGGTGGGGCTGGCTTGGGAGTCTCTCCTGCTGTTATAGTCAGACTATGGCTGGAGGTGGAAAAGTGGGGGCTGAAGCAGCTGGGGCATCTCTCTCTCTCTCCTTTTACATAGTCTGGGGGTCTCTCCATGTGGTCTAGCTTGGGCTTCCTCACAGCATGGTGGCCTCAGGGTACCCAGACATCAGATGCCTTAGCAGGAGGCTCAGGTCTCCAGGAGCAAGTCTTTGGCTAACAAGGTGGATGTGCCGTACCTTCTATGACCTGGCCTAAGAAGTCACACGGTGTCACTTTCACCATATTCTACTGGCTACATGTGGCTCCACCAAGCCACCCCGACTGAAGGGGAGTGGAATTAGACTGTGTCTCTTGATGTGGGAGTGGCAAGATTCTAGAAGAGCCTGGGGAATAAAAATTGTTACTGCAGCCATTTTTTGAAAATACAATCTGTGACGGATTAACCTGGAATAAAAAGCTGACAGATCATACCAGGCCTTGTAAGCCACACTAAAGTTCAGTCGTGTGATGGCCCACTCCCCACCACCCCGCCGGAGGGTTTTAAGCAAGAGGGTGAAATTGTTCATCATCTTAAAAAGTTCTGGGCTTCCCTGGTGGTGCAGTGGTTAAGAATCCACCTGCCAGTGCAGGGGACACGGGTTCAAGCCCTGGTCTGGGAAGATCCCACATGCCGCCAAGCAACAAAGCCCATGAGCCACAACTACTGAGCCTGCGCTCTAGAGCCCGCGAGCCACAACTACTGAAGCCCGCGCCCTAGAGCCCATGCTCCGCAACAAGAGAAGGCACCGCAATGAGAAGCCCGTGCACCGCAACAAAGAGTAGCCCCCACTCGTCGCAACTAGAGTAAGCCCGCACGCAGCAACAAAGACCCAATGCAGCCAAAAATAAATAAATAAAATTATTAAAAAAGAAAAGTTCTGGGGCTTCCCTGGTGGTGCAGTGGTTGAGAGTCTGCCTGCCGACACAGGGGACAAGGGTTCGTGCCCCAGTCTGGGAAGATCCCACATGCCGCGGAGCGGCTGGGCCCGTGAGCCATGGCCGCAGGGCCTGCACGTCCGGAGGCTGTGCTGCGCAGCAGGAGAGGCCACAACAGTGAGAGGCCCACATACCGCAAAAAAAAAAAAGAAAAGAAAAGTTCCTCCTAGCAGCTATGTGGATTTGGAAGCAGAGACCATTTAGGAAGGGGGTGCAGAAGTTCACGTCCCAGACACGGTGGTCAGCCCCAGCCTAGGTGAGGGTACAGGGAGAGAGTGGGGGTGAGGAAGACTGCCAGGGCTCTGGACTGACTAGCCGTTTTTGTTCACAGAGATGAAGAACAATGGAGAGGGCTTCCCTGGTGGCGCAGTGCTTGAGAGTCCCCCTGCCGATGCAGGAGACGCGGGTTCGTGCCCCGTTTCGGGAGGATCCCACGTGCCGCGGAGCGGCTGGGCCCGTGAGCCATGGCCGCTGGGCCTGCGCGTCCGGAGCCTGTGCTCCGCAAATGGGAGAGGCCACGACAGTGAGAGGCCCGCATAACGCAAGAAAAAAAAAAAAAAAAAAGAACAATGGAGAAATGAGTTTGGACACAGTGGGCTTAAAAGGCCAGGATAGACATATGAGATTGGAACTCAGGAGATAAAAATTTAGGAGAGAACACACAGCATTTAAAAGGGCACAGGGGACTTCCCTGGTGGTCCAGTGGTAAAGAATCCACCTTACAATTCAGGGGACGTGGGTTCGATCCCTGGTCAGGGAACTAAGATCCCACATGCCACAGGGATGCAACTAAGCCCACGGGCCGCAACTATTGAGCTCGCGTGCCTCAACTAGAGAGCCCACATGCTGCAAACTACAGGGCCCACGCGCTCTGGAACCGCGCGCTACAACTAGAGAGAAGCCCTCGTGCCGCAATGAAGAGCCTGCATGCCTCAACAAAGCCCCTGCTTGCCACAACTAAGACGGGAGGCAGCCTAAGTAAATAAATAAATATAGACAGATAGATAAATAAATGCTTAATAAATAAATAAATAATAAAAGGGCACAGGAGTGGAAAATGAGTGCCAACTCAAGCATTCAGAATCTCGGTACCCACTTCCTCTTATCACCGCCGACCAAGCAAGCGTGCAGGATGAAATGCGCATGCGCACATCTCCTCCGCCAGCGGCTCCTGGGCAGCAGCCTGCGGACTGCGCACGCGCGCGCGCGGTGTGCGGCGGTCGCCGTGGAGACGCGTGGCACTAGCCTGGCTCTAGCCTGGCCCTCGCCCCGCGAGCCTCCGGCTCAGCCGCAGCGGGTCTCGTGCTGCCCCAGGCGCGGGGGGCGGCCCCGCGGGCGGACGGACTGCGGCGGTGGGGGCGGGGCGTCGGGGGACGGCGAGGAGGAGGAGCGAGAGGGCTGCATGGCGGCCTCGCAGGGGTCCAGACTGCCCCCCATCTCGGGCTGCGCCTCAGAACTGCCCAAACGGAAGGTGAAGAAGAAAAAGAAGAGAAAGACCAAGGGGTCTGGGAAGGGGCGCGGTAAGAGGGGCAGCTAGCGCGTCCGCCTCGCTCGCATACCTGAGATTCTTCTCCGAGGACACCCAACCCACCCCTCAGACACCCCCACCTACTTGGGGACCTTAAGCCCAGAAACAGAAACTCGCCAGTCCCAATCAGAGGTCCTCCCTCTCTCTGCACGATGATGATCCAGCCCTCCGCACAAAGACCATCCATGTCCGCAGAGACCCCAAATCCTGCGTCGAGAATTCTCAACATCAATGGAGACCTTCAACCCCACACAGAGACACGCCACAGAGCCTCCCAGCCCCACACTGTGACTCCTAGCTTTACACAGGCACTCACTCATCTTCCTCCTCCCTCAGTCCAAGCTTAGAATCCTGAACATCTTGTTCCTTCCCCACAGAAATCTCAAGCCCTCCTACAGAGATGCCCCCATCCTCACACAGAGGCTGTCCCCACCCACAGCTACTAAGGCACTAGTGACAGACGCTGTCACTCATACACAGAATCACAGGCTCCTGCCTTCCGCCTGGACACCCTCCTTTCACCCTCATTTGTTAGGGGCCTCTATGTAGACACCCAGGACATGCACATAAAGTGTGCTCCCTGTACAGACCGCCCTTCCTTTTCCCTCATCTACGGAGGCCACCCTTCGACTGCACACAAACACCATCACACCAGTCACTGCTACACACTCTTATAATCCCTGACACCCTCAACAACACCCCCTTCTATCAATATAATCGCCAAATAAAGCTAAAGCACAGATAGCCCAGCAGGCACACAGCTTCCCAGTCTGCACACACAAGCAGACACTCTGCTACATGCTATATACTCACGTGCCTAGACCTCTTCAGTACACGTACGACCGTACACGTGGGGTTCTCACTCCAGGCCCTCCTGCGGACACTTCACAGACGTACACCCACTAACAGCTGCCACAAAAGCACAGAGCCCTACGGCTCACCGAGCTCCTCTCATAGAACGCCCTGGGAGCTCGACAAAGGCCCTGAGCACCCAGGAGAGAGTGGAGAGAGTGCAACAGTGTCGTAGAGCGCACCTGTCCACGGGTGCTGTAGGTCTCCACTGTCCTTGTGTGGTTCACCTTGGTGGCTCTTGTCTGTCAGGGAGGTGGCTCTCGCCGACCCTGGCACAGCTGCCCTGACCTCCAGCACGGCTAGTCCTGGGTTCACGTTTCTGGGTCCTGGCCCTCTTTATGCGGAGCCAGCTCCCCTGACAAGGTGACGGCAGAAGGCGTGACGGGCAGATTATAATTACTTCTCCAGTTGGGATCATAAGAAAAAGGCAAGAAAACAATTCTGGAGTTTAGGTCAATAAGCTCCATGTGTATCTGCCAAACCAAACGAGGAAATTTATTATCTTTTTAGCTTAGCTTCTGCCTCTAAAGATTACACTGGCACGTACCTCATACTGTCAGCAGGGGACACCAAATAATTTTCAGGGAGTAGGAAGGTATAGGAATGCCAAGAGAGAATTTTTTTCTTATTTTCTTCTCTCTCTCTTTTTTTTTTTTTTTTTTTTTTTTGGGGGGGGGGGGGG